GCAAATAAGTAGATCAAGTCGGACCTTCTTAGGAGTCCTCACGAAAGGATGTCGTTGCTTCTTTGCGCCTTCCACTTCCTCAGACATAGAGGGAGGAACAATAACAGGAACTTGCTGCTGCTTTAAGAAAGTCTCTAGCGATTGTTCCTCCTGCGAAACTCGATGACACTTTAATTGAATGAAGAGAACAGCAATCCACATAGGAAGGTGTGAAACGTGGCGATGGCCAGCCTTTGATTAGACGCCCATAACATCACATGTAGGAAGAGGCAGGTTTCGGAGGCGGCTGAAGACGACATATAGCACATCTTATCCACGAGAGTGGGACAGGTCTTGTGTCCACCTCGCTAGCTCTGACTCGACTTTAGCTCAAGGGGGATTCCTTGGGGACACCCAATTGTGACGTATTTGTCGGTTGAGTTCACGAGGCCATTAAAACTTCACATGAACGCAAATGCAATAATCGTCGTTTAAATTTGAAAATTCAACATAAGTGAGGAAACGGACGGGATAACTAAACTGGGAGAAGTTCGGCTGTTTGCCACGTCTACATCGGAAAAAAGCAAAAGAAAAGAAATTGTCACTGAGACAACAAAGCATGAATATAGGCCGCTGTACAGCCCTGTATAATATGAAATTGGCAATGAAGAATGGAATAATCACTGTTGTGCCGATGATAGGCTAGAATCGATCGAAGAACCGTCGGGCTGAGCAACACGTTTCCTCAACCCCAATCCAGCGAGGGAATCCAAAGTCGATTCCTCCACTGCTACGTCAGCTTTGGAAAGTACTGCCAGGCTTTGCAGAACAGCACGATTCCTCCGCTTGAGAGGAGGGAATGTGTTTCTTAAAATGACGTGAAGCACTCGACCATCAGCGAACCAGCCCGGCCAGGATTGATAGCCTCTCTCGTTTAGAAAGCGGCTCAGCCACCGACCAAAGTTGATTCGCATTGCCAAAGTATGAGTCTGACGAGGCGGACGAGAAAGCTTCTTGATAGCAGCGATAAGATGGGTTGGGACTGGCAATTAAACTGTGCGTATATACAATGATTTTCACGACAACCCACCATTCCCAGTGAAAGGCGAAGTCCCCGCATAGACATCACAGGCGGCTGAGTGACGCAGAATCGCCTGATAGAAATCCTCGAGGCGCATACATCTTGAACGTTGCGGATCCAGGCGCAGCTGTGGAAAGCCTGCCAGAGACAAATCCCTCCTCTGTGTAACATCCCTAGAAGAGCTGGCACCTTACCTGCTGCCAAGAGCATCTCGACTTCCCCGGAACATTCATACCAATTCACATAACCATGCTGTTCCAACATGGCGGTGGTCCATCTGCCGAGCAGAGACTTCATCAGGTCAGGTATAAGATCCTAAAAGATGCAGCAACAAGCAGTGCTAGAGTGTGTGCAGGAGCGAATCATGCTGGAGTCTACAGTCACGAGCAAGCGTGCTTCATTCGGCATCAAACTACCAAAGCTATCCTGGAATCCGCTGGTAGTTAAGAGTCAACAATTTGCAAGAAGAGCGCTCATTCTCAAGGGTTGTGACACACAACTTGTGAGCCGATGGTGAATGCGCATCGATCACCCGCTTTCTTACCCCCTTGACTTCTGCGAACAAGATGGGAGTAGAATGAATACTGGACTTAATCCAGTGTATAAGAATATCCATCTCCTTTTTGGAGACCCTCCCACAGAACAAGGCAAGTGAGCTCCCTTGATCCTCCTCGTTGCCGAACCCCATACGATGATTGAGATGTCTCTGAGAGAAAGCGGACATACATTCAGACCTCAGTACGATATCATTGATCGAAAGATATCCGTTGGAAATACAGTGTTGTATTACGTAACTCAAACTACGCAATTCATGATGCTGCATGTATAAAAGTACACAATCCTGCTAACAGCGGCCGCCATATTCGGCAAATAGATTCCTGAATGGTCTAGACCTCGGGCATAGCGGCCACCCTATTCGGCAAAAAGATTACGACGTGGTCTAGCCCTCGGGCATAGCGGCCCCCTATTCGGCAAAGGGATTACTACGTGATCTAGACCACAGGCATAGCGGCCCCCTAATCGGCAAATAGATTACGACGTGGTCTAGACCTCGGGCATAGCGGCCCCCAATCGGCAAAGGGATTACTACGTGGTCTAGACCACAGGCATAGCGGCCCCCTAATCGGCAAAGGGATTACTACGTGATCTAGACCACAGGCATAGCGGCCCCCTAATCGGCAAATAGATTACGACGTGGTCTAGACCTCGGGCATAGCGGCCCCCTATTCGGCAAAGGGATTACTACGTGGTCTAGACCACAGGCATAGCGGCCCCCTAATCGGCAAATAGATTACGACGTGGTCTAGACCTCGGGCATAACGGCCCCCTAATCGGCAAAGGGATTACTACATGGTCTAGACCACAGGCATAGCGGCCCCTTATTGACCGGTATAAATGTCAAGAGGGTAGTGATGACGGAACTTCAACTGAGCGCAGACCTTGAGACCTCACCTTATCAACGTAGATGTGAGATCTACTCGCTTCGGTCGCTGCCAGAAGGACCTTCACATGGCTCCTCCTCCTCAGCGCCCTCGGCATGATCCTCATGATAACCAAGCCCCCAAGTATTCCAGCAACGACCACGCAGAACAACTGAATATCA